GCTCTGGTAAAATCCTACTAGAACTGGGACCAGCACTGATTGAATCCTACTCGAGCTGCGTCCAGCTCTAGAGCTGAGTCCAGCTCGACCAGGATCCTGCTAGGGCGAGGTCCAGCTCTCATAAGATCCTACTAGAGCTGCGTCCAGCTCTAATAAAATCCTACTCGAAATGCGTTCAGCTCTACTTGAAAACTAGTAGAGCTGCGTCCAGCTCTGATAGAATCCTACGAGCGCTGGGTCATCTCGAATCCTACTAGAGCTGCGCCCAGCTCTAATATAATCCTACTTAGAGCTGGGACCGGCTCTGGTTGAATACTACTAGCTGCGTTCAGCTCGACTAGGATCCTACTAGAGCTGCGTCCAGCTCTGATAGAACCCTACTAGAGCTGCGTCCACCTCTAATGGAATCCTACTAGAGGTGCGTCCAGCTCGAATAAAGTCCTACTAGAGATGAGTCGTCATCGTCATCATCAGCATCATGGAGGGCACTTCCGCGGCGTCCCCAAGGAGCGCTCCCAGTGCGCTCCAGTGCTCCCAGGGCGGGCACAGCGACCGCCCCCAGAGCGTTCCAAATGCGCTCCCAAGGCGCCCCTAAAGGGAGCGCCCAATTCACCCCAAGGAGCGCCCCCAGTGTGCCCCCAGCGCCCCCCCGCAGCGCGATCCCAATGCACCCCAGGGAGCGCTCCCAGTACGCCCCCAGCGCCTCCCCCAGCGAGATCCAAATGCGCTCCAGGGAGCGTGCCCAGGGAGCACAGGGAGCGCCCCCAGAACGCTCGCAGGGAGCGTGCCCAGTACGCCCCCAAGGGTAGAATGGCATGCGCCTTCCCCTCCCCCTGTTGCGCCATCCCTCCCCCGCCCACTTGCGACGTTGGTTGCGTTTCCCTCCGCCATGTTCCGCCTCCCCCCCCCCGGCGCTCCCGCTCGAGCGTTGCGCGGTTGCGGTTGCGACCCCCCCCCCGGCAACTCCTCCCGGGGTACCAGAGTCCCTTCATCGTGAACTAAGACAGCAACAGCAACAACAGCAACAGCAGCAACGGCAGCAAGAGCAACAGCAACAGCAGCAGCAGCACAGCAACCACAACAACAGCAGTCATTGTAAGGTTGCTCGCTCTTATCTGCTCGCGTGCCATTCAACACATAGGTCCCAAGCCCTCGAAGCCCGTCCTCTTCGCCTTCGATCGTACCCCTTTGGGGGTAGATCGTTCTTACTTGCAACGTATATTTCGTGCAGCCTCTAAAGCAGGGGAAGAGAGCACGGATGGAAGGAAGGGACAAGGGGGAGGGAGGAGGATGGAGCACGAGAGAGAGTAGCAGGAGGGGTAGCAGGGGAGGCTTGGGGCAGAAAACGCCTGGCAGAACCAGACATGCAGATCGGGCGGGTAGACCCTAACGAGCGGGTCGGAAGGCGGGCCCAGACGGCCAGGCCGAGCAGGCGGGTTGCTGAAGCGTGCGTCTGCATGAATCGCGAGGAAGTATCGAGCGATGGTGAGATTCCCAAGTAAATCGTAAGGAAATCCATAGCGAAAGCGTGATTCCTGAGTGTCAAGGGCGCGGCGTCCGAGTGAATTGCCAGGAAATCCCACGCGAGAGCGCGATTCCTGCATCAATTGTGAAGACGTCCCGCGCGAATGCGCGACTTGGGAATAAAATATGAGGAGGTCTCAGGCGGGAGCCGTTGTGAACGGGGGGCCAGGGGCGCAGTTTGGTGCACATCATTTTCTCTTCAAAAACAAGGCGTAAGCCCTGGGAAGAGCGCACGAATTTGAAAAAAACAGAAAGGGTTACCGGAGGGGGGGATCAACAATGACTATTTTTGAGAAATGAGAATTCAACAATCCGCACCGCGGAAGCCCACTTCAGCCACGCACCCTGGGACAGCGGTGAATGACCGAGGGGCCTCCATCACTCTGACGATCGGCCCCTCGTGCTTGCACACACCTTGACGACAGAGCTCGTTATCAGGCCCCGTGGGTGGACCTACGACGACGTGGACAGCGCCCTCGGCTCCACGCCCGAGGGCGGGGAGCGATGGGGAGAAGTGAGAAGGAGAAAAGGCCGTCTCAGAAGGCGGCGGGGCCTCTCCGAAGCCCTCCAGCCCTCCAGCCCTTTCTGCCTTCGGGGAGGGCTCGGAAAAGACCTCCCGGAGGGCCGAAGGACTGCCGAGCCTGCTGAGCAGGCCCGCCCCTCCTCGCTGCCCCCCCCCCTCGCCCGCCGCCGATCCACGCCCGGCGGCGGGGCCGGCACCGCACCGCAGGACCCGCGGGGCCCGCACACACTGCGCCCGGCCGCACGAATCGTGGAGGAGCGCCCACGGGACGCCACCCTCGGCCGGCAGGCGTGCGCTGCCGCGCTGCGGCCGCGCGTCGTCTGCGAGAGCGCCGCCGAGGCGCACGAGGACGGGCACCACGAGCACGCTGCAGAGCCCAGGCCCCCCGAATGCTCTGCGACGGTCTTGCCCGGCGAGGCCAAGCTGGCCCAGCACCCAGCGATGACTCAAGAGCAGCGATTACATCGAGCACTCGACGAGGAGGGCGCCCTGGCTCGTCTGTTCGGAGTCTCCCCCGTCCTCTTCCTCTACGGCAGCACCTGGAGCACCTGGACCAGCAGGAAACCCTGGGCCCTTTGGTGTGAGGACTCGTGGACTCGCAGGAGCTCCCAGAGCAGCGAGCAGCGTCGCCGGGCAAAACCCACATCACGCCGGACGGCACGTGCCGAAAGCCATCCGCGGTGCACGATTGACGCGGCAGCTGAGGTACAGCGCTGTGGGCAGACCCGGGGACGGTGAAACCTGCGGTGCTGGGCAGATGAAGTGGCAATGCTTACTAAACCTGTGAATATCTTGTTCCACGGCAAACAAAAGCCTTGGCAGCCGGACGACGGGAAGATAGTGGCCTTCTACACCGCGGTCTGGCATGGGGTAGCAATGAAGCCAGCGACGAGGACTGGCTCCCCGCACTCTCGTGTAGAACGTTGGCGCCCTCTCAGTTCTTGATCGTCTCTCTACTCTAAGCGACACTCCGGAGTCTTTCTCCCACGCGACAAGGATTTCGCGGCATCACGATGCCATGGATAGTTTCTGCCTCCCGTACCTTCTGAATCTGCCTTTCGTGGATGTGCTTGATCGCCCTGTCGTACGTTTTCCAGGTTCTAACCTACGATCGGATCTCCCTGCTGAACACCCAGACGACGGCGCCGTGATCTGGCCGTTTTCGGGGCGCCTAAAAGGCCCTCGTAAGGTTGCCTCGGGGCGCCCTGGGGGCCCCGTGCGGCTGTCTTGGGGCCCTCTTGGGCTGCCTGGAGCGTCCTCGGGGGCCCTCGCGGGGCGTCCTGGGCCGTCTCAGGCTCCACCTGGGCCGTCCTGGGCCCTACTGGAGCCCTCTCGGAGGTCTTTTGCGCCATCTTGGGGCCATCGTGGGAGCATCCTGGGTGCTTGGCAAACCCGAAAGGAGAGCATGCTAAAAACGTGAAGAGACCTGTAGGAAAGATGTCCGCTGTGCTTCTTGGGGGCTTGTTGGGAATTCTCTCAGGGCCTTCTTGGGCCGTTTCGGAGGGCCCATTGAGCCGTCTTGCTCCGCCTTTGCCGCATTGAAGGCTCTTTGGTACCTCCTGGGGCCTTCTGAGGCCCTCTGTGGCCGTTATGGGTCCATATGGGGCCGTCGTGAGCTCATCCTGGCGGCACGCACAAGGGGGTAGGGGGAGGGGGGAAGGCGTCTGAGAAGGAGGCGGCTTCTTAGAAGGCGCTGGCCCTACATCTACAGGCAAGGCCCGCGCCTTCTAAGAAGCAGGGGGGATTCTGAGAAGCCTTCCCCCCTCCCCCTGCCCAAACTGCGCGTGGCTGATCCTCTGGGGCGCTCAGGACGGTATGAGCACAGCTATGCGAGATCTCGCCAGGAGGGCCAGAGCAAACTTTTTGTGTGACGTTGATAGGACTCCAATCGGCGTGAAGCGCAACGTCAAGATGGTAAAACGACTGACATACAGTAGGAACCGACTGCAGCACAGTGGCCAATAACATAAGCTGCAAGCAAATGCGGAGATAAACAGGGCAGTAAGCGCCCGACAGGGCGTGGAGCGACTACGCGTGCAGCCCGTACAATAGCTAACCCCGCCCTCCCTTCTTGGACGCACTCCGACTGTGTTCAGCTCCCGGGCCGGAAGCCCCCCCCCCCTCGGCCCCCCTCCCATCCTCTCCCCTCCAACCCGCCGACACTACCCCCTCCCTCCCTAAGACGAAGCCAGGACGAGGACAAATTCGAGTAAGGAAACATCGAGAATCTCTGAGATCTGGCGGCTCTGGAGGATGTCTCGGGAGCCGCGACCTTCTCAGAGCGTTCTGGAACGCTCTAAGAGCGTCCTGGGATGCTCTGCAACGGACTTATCCTCGTACTAGCCCTGGTCAACTCCCCCGGATCCCCCCTCCCCAGCCGGAAGCCCCACCCACCTCCCCCCTCTTTCGCCCTGCGGAAGCTGCCCCTCCCTAGAAGAAGAAAACACGGCATGAGCATAAACTTTTGGCGCTCCGCGCGGATTTCTTGGATCTGCGCGGGACCCCCCTCCCTGACGCGCGGAGCGCGCCAGGGGCGGCGCTGGAGGCGCCGCCGCCGCAGGGGGCGGGGGGGGCCAGGCGCCGATCCAAGACATCCGTCCAGAGCGCCAAAAGTTTATGTTTATGGCGTTGTTTCTTCTTCGTCGACCTCCAGAGAACCAACGCATTAAAAAAAGGCGGTGTATTTGTTCGTAGGCCTCGGGGGGTCCTCGCCAGGCCCCAGGACCGTGCAAAAAAAACTCAGGACGAGAAACCCGTCCTGGGGAATGGGTCGAGACTTCTGGGGACCCAGGAGCAGGTTTTGGAGGAGAAAGAGGAGGAGGAGGAGGAGGAGGAGGAGGAGGAGGAGGAGGAGGAGGAGAAGGGGGAGGAGAAAAATCACGACCTCGGATCTCTGGGTCCCCCGCCCCTCTAGCCTCCCCCGCCCAAAGCACCGGCGAGGGCCGCGGCCATCCTTAGGCTCCGCGGCTCCAGGTCGAGCAGCGCTGCCATCTCTCGCAGCGCAGCGGTCAGGCGGCGGGTCTCGGACGGCTGGGGAAGAGGGTGGTCCTCCTCCTCCTCCTCCCCTCCTCCTCCTCCTCCTCCTCCTCCTCCTCCTCCTCCTCCTCTCCTCCTCCTCCTCCTCCTCCTCCTCCTCCTCCTCCTCCTCCTCCTCCTCCTCCTCCTCCTTCCCTCCTCCTCCTCCTCCTCCTCCTCCTCCTCCTCCTCCTCCTCCTCCTTTTCCTCCTCCTCCTCCTCCTCCTCTTCCTCCTCCTCTTCTCCTCCTCCTCCAGTGGTAGAGGGTCGGGGATGACGAGGAGGGGCGGGGAGAGGAGTGGGAAGGAGGGCGAGGGAAGTGGAGCAGGTGCCTGGGAGGGCCGCGGAGGAAAGCAGCACTGCGGCACTGCGCCCCCGCGTCACGGAGGAGCGGCCCTACGAGGGGCGGGGCGGTGGCGCCTCGGCGCCGACAATAATCTAACAAATCTCACGCTGGGGGGGAAAGAGGAGAAGGAGGAGCTGAGATGAACGCTGTAAAAGGAGGAGGGGGGAAGGAGGAGGAGGCGGAGGAGGAGGAGGAAGTGGAGGAGGAAGTGGAGGAGGAGGAAGTGGAGGAGGAGGAGCTGAAATGAACTTTGTAAAAGGAACAAGAAGAGGGGGAGGAATAGGAGGAGCCGGCCAGCAGGTTCACTCACCTTGTGCTTGCCGTGGTCGCTGCACGTACGATTCCTCGAACTGCGACCATAGAGTGCCAATATTCTCCAGAAGCTGTGGAGAAATGCGGAAGAGAACAGATGAGCGGGGCAGAGTCCGGAAGGGTGTGGAGGACAAGGAATAACAAAGGTGCGGGGAGGATGCAGCGTATGAAATTAAAACATTCAACATCGCGAGGGGGAGTGAAACAGAACCAGCACCGGCTGGTACAAGGTTGTGTTGAACTGCGGCGTATTGACGTGATCCGCTGTGGTGTATACCGCAGTGGCTTGCACCGAGTTGGTTCGCATTGCACTACCTTGTGATGTATGTCCTTGATTTGCACTGTTTGCACTGCTTGCGCTGCACTGCTGTGTACATAATTGTTTTGCGATGCGGAGTTGTGATGTTCGTGGTGCTTTATCTGTAAGCGCATCGTATCGTTCTCTCGTTGTCGTGGTGCTTGAGGATAATGTCGAGAGCTCTCGCTTGTATGGACTTGCGTTGCGCTGCGTTGATGTAATTATACCTATACGACCGCCCTGCGGGCGATAAGGAGGTTGGGGGGGGATTGAGATCAAATGCCCACCCTAACTGACCTCCAGCCTGTCTCCTTGATCTCATCTCACTGTTTCTCTCTGTGTCTCTCTCTCTCTCTCTGTCTCTCTCTCTCTCTCTCTCGCCCTTTCTCTCTCTCTCTCTCTCTCTCTCTCTCTCTCTCTCTCCCTCGCCATCAGAGTCTCCCTCCACCACAATGATGATCGCGATGACGATGAGATTCCACTATCTACCTATCCGTCGACCGACCTATCGGTGAATCTCACTGTCGATCTCACTACCTCAAAAGCACAATGACAAAGCCCGCCGCAGGCGCCGAAAAACGATTTGTTGTCGGACAACCACAGGACAACTTTCGGCACAACCACCAGACAACCATCAGGACAAGAACAAGACAACCACGAGACAACCATCGCATACTAGGTAATACCTGTCTCTCTCTCTCTCTCTCTCTCTTTCTCTCTCTCTCTCTCTCTATATATATATATATATATATCAGACTCCCCCTCCACCACAATGATGGCAGTGACGATGGGTGATGGGACACCACGGGACACCTCGGGACACCACATCGATCTCACTATCGATCTCACTCAACGGGACACCACGGAAAACCGAGGGACACCTCGGTGCACCACATCGATCGCAGCATCGATCTCACTATCGGTCTCACTATTGATCTCATTCAACGGGAAACCATAGGACACCACGGAACACCTGTCGATCTCAGTGTCGATCTCACTATCGGTCTCACTCAACGGGACACCACGGGACACCACGGGACACCACGGGACACCGCGGGACACCTCACGAACTCACTATCGGTCTCACGATCGATCTCACTATCGATCTCACTCAATGGGACACCTTAGGACACAACGGGGCACCGAGGGACACCTGTCGATCTAACCATCGATCTCACTATCGATCTCACTCAACAGGACACCACGGGACACCACGGGACACGGCGGGACACCTGTCGATCTCACTAACGATCTCACCATCGATCTCATGTTTTGGGACACCACGGGACACCACGGGACACGGCGGGGCACCACATCGATCTCACTATCGGTCTCACTATCGATCTCATTCAACGGGACACCACAGGACACCACGGGACACCACGGGACACCTGTCGATCTCACTATCGATCTCACTATCGATCTCACTGTTTGGGACACCACAGGACACCTCGGGGCACCACATCGATCTCAATATCGATACCCAAACGCCCGGGACACCACGGGACACCTGTCGATCTAACCCTCGATCTCACTATCGATCTCACTCAACGGGACACCACGGGACACCACGGGACACGGCGGGACACCTGTCGATCTCACTAACGATCTCACCATCGATCTCTTGTTTTGGGACACCACGGGACACCTCGGGGCACCACATCGATCTCACTATCGGTCTCACTATCGATCTCACTCAACGGGACACCACGGGACACCACGGGACACGGCGGGACACCTGTCGATCTCACTATCCATCTCACTATCGATCTCACTCAACGGGACACCACGGGACACCACGGGACACCACGGGGCACCACATCGATCTCACGATCGGTCTCACTATCGATCTCACTCAACGGGACACCATAGGACACCACGGGACACCACGGGACACCTGTCGATCACATCTCGCCCTCTCTCTCTCTCTCTGTCCCTCTCTATCAGAGTCTCCCTCCACCACACTGATGATCGCGATGACGATGAGATTCCACTATCTACCTATCCGTCGACCGACCTATCGGTGAATCTCACTGTCGATCTCACTATCGACCTCAAAAGCAAAATGACAAAGCCCGCCGCAGGCGCCGAAAAACGATTTGTTGTCGGACAACCACAGGACAACTTTCGGCACAACCACCAGACAACCATCAGGACAAGAACAAGACAACCACGAGACAACCATCGCATACTAGTTAATCTCTGTCTCACTCTCTCTCTCTCTCTCTCCCTCTCGCTCTCTACAATGATAGCACTGACGATGGGTGATGGGACACCACGGGACACCTCGGGGCACCACATCGATCTCACTATCGATCTCACTCAACGGGACACCACGGGACACCGACGGACACCACGGTGCACCACATCGATCTCAGCATCGATCTCACGATCGATCTCACTATCGATCTCACTCAACGGGACACCATAGGACACCACGGGACACCTGTCGATCTCACTGTCGATCTCACTATCGGTCTCACTCAACGGGCCACCACGGGACACCACGGGCCACCACGGGCCACCACGGGACACCGCGGGACAACTCTCGATCTCACAGTCGGTCTCACTATCGATATCACTATCGATATCACTCAATGGGACACCACGGGACACCACGGGGCACCGAGGGACACCTGTCGATCCAACCATCGATGTCACTTTCGATCTCACTCAACGGGACACCACGGGACACCACGGGACACGGCGGGACACCTGTCGGTCTCAGTCACCATCGATACCATTCCCAACCATCCTGTGGTGTTGGGTCCCCGTTTTGAAGAGACGGTGCCCCGCGTTCTCCTTCCTTCCTTCCTTCCTTCCTTCCTCCCGCTGCCTCCGCCCCCCTCCCATCATCATCATCATCATCATCATCATCATCATCATCATCATCATCATCATCATCATCATCATCATCATCATCATCAACAACAACACCCATTTCGGCACACCCCTCACACGCTTCGTGGCTCCATAGGGAGCTCCACCGAAGGCCCCAGTGCCCGCGGCCGCATGCGTCACCCACACCCATTTCGGCACACCCCTCACACGCTTCGTGGCTCCATAGGGAGCTCCACCGAAGGCCCCAGTGCCCGCGGCCGCATACGTCACCCACACCCATTTCGGCACACCCCTCACACGTTTCGTGGCTCCATAGGGAGCTCCACCGAAGGCCCCAGTGCCCGCGGCATGCGTCACCCACACATTTCCACACCCCTCACACGTTTCGTGGGGAGCTCCACCGAAGGCGCGCCCGCATGCGTGGCACACCCCTCACACGATAGGGAGCTCCACCGAAGGCCCCAGTGCCCGCGCCGCATGCGTCACCCACACCCATTTCGGCACACCCCTCACACGTTTCGTGGCTCCATAGGGAGCTCCACCGAAGGCCCCAGTGCCCGCGCCCGCATGCGTCACCCACACCCATTTCGGCACACCCCTCACACGTTTCGTGGCTCCATAGGGAGCTCCACCGAAGGCCCCAGTGCCCGCGCCCGCATGCGTCACCCACACCCATTTCGGCACACCCCTCACACGTTTCGTGGCTCCATAGGGAGCTCCACCGAAGGCCCCAGTGCCCGCGCCCGCATGCGTCACCCACACCCATTTCGGCACACCCCTCACACGTTTCGTGGCTCCATAGGGAGCTCCACCGAAGGCCCCAGTGCCGCGCCGCCGTCGCCACACCCATTTCGGCACACCCCTCACACGTTTCGTGGCTCCATAGGGAGCTCCACCGAAGGCCCAGTGCCCGCGGCCGCATGCGTCACCCACACCCATTTCGGCACACCCCTCACACGTTTCGTGGCTCCATAGGGAGCTCCACCGAAGGCCCCAGTGCCCGCGGCCGCATGCGTCACCCACACCCATTTCGGCACACCCCTCACACGTTCGTGGCTCCATAGGGAGCTCCACCGAAGGCCCCAGTGCCCGCGGCCGCATGCGTCACCCACACCCATTTCGGCACACCCCTCACACGTTTCGTGGCTCCATAGGGAGCTCCACCGAAGGCCCCAGTGCCCGCGGCCGCATGCGTCACCCACACCCATTTCGGCACACCCCTCACACGTTTCGTGGCTCCATAGGGAGCTCCACCGAAGGCCTCAGCGCCGCCGCCCGCATGCGTCACCCCCACCCATTTCGGCACACCCCCCGCATTTCTCGCACGGCAGGGTCATCACCACGGTGGCGTGCCAGGGGCGCACCATGCGCGAAGGCGACGGGGCGGGGGAACGGCGCTCCGGGGGCGGCCAGACCTCCGGGGCGCGAGCAGTCCGCGGCCAGACCATCTCTCGGTCCTGTGGACTCTCGCCCTGGGCCGTCGGCTGCCCGGCGCGCTGCTCCCTCGGTCGACGTCGCCCAGGCGTGATCCTGGATTGCGGCCGCCACGAGGTAGGGAACGGCAAGAAGGAGGACGACGACTGGTGGCTGGAGCTCTACGTGCTGCTCTCGCGCGCCACGCGCCACGAGGACCTCCTGCTCATGCGGGCGCCGCGCATCGAGTTCTTCCTGGCAGGGCCGCCGCAGGGCTTGCGGAAGCAGCTGGAGCAGTTTGCGGCGCGCACGAAGCGGCGCAGGAGGGAAGCGACGGCCCTCGCCAGGGAGCTCGGCTTCACCGAGTTCATCCGCGAGGCCTGACCTGAGGAGCGTCTCCCCCGAGCCGCGCCTTCTCTCGACTGCCCGACTAATTGTTTGGCCTCGCGCCGCGGACGACCCGCGCGCGTCGCTGGGACCCTCTCGGGGCGACCAGCGCGCGTCGCGGGAACTCCGTGCTGCGGGGGGCCCGGCGCCTCGTTCGCCCGTCGTCGCTCTGCCCAGCGGTCAGAGACTTGCCCGCTATCAGCCAGCCAGTTAGCTAGTCAGCTCTCTCTGCTTCGCGCAGCGGACGACCCGCGCGCGTCGCTGGGACCCCGCCCGGGGCGACCAGCGCGCGTCGCGGGGACTCCGCGCCGCGCTGCGCCCGCAGCCTTGGATTTTGGAGTGCGCGGGCAAAGAGGAAGGAAAAGAAGAGCCGAAAGCGGGCGCGATCCTCGCAAGAGGCGTGCCGACATGGGCGTCGCGACGTGCGGACGCTGCCGTCGGGGTTCCCGCGGAAGCTGCCTGCGGCGGCCACGCCCAGTGTCACGTGTGTTCGGACAGGCACGCTCGAACCATTCACATTCATATACACTTGCGCTAGGCGTTTCCATGATCGCATTCATGCAAATATATTCACTCGCGCGCAGACCCATTCATACTCAGATTCCCTCGCGTTCTGACTCACCCGCGTTCTTTCTCTCGTAATCAGATCTATCGTATTCCTTTGCGTTGTGTACCCCGCCACATTTCGGCACACCCCTCATGCGGTTCGTGGCCCCATAGGGAGCGCCACCGAAGAATATACTCACAATTGCGATACTCACAACTGCATATGGTTGGGTCCTTCGCCAGGATATTTTTTTGGGACACCACGGGACACCTCGGGGCACCACATCGAGCTCACTATCGGTCTCACTATCGATCTCACTCAACGGGACACCATAGGACACCACGGGACACCACGGGACACCTGTCGATCTCACTATCGATCTCACTATCGATCTCACTGTTTGGGACACCGCAGGACACCTCGGGGCACCACATCGATCTCAATATCGATACCCAAACGCCCGGGACACCTGGGAAACCCGGGACACCGCCCGGCCCAACCGGCCACAGGCAGACAGGAAAAGACGCCCGGGACACCCGGGACACCCGGGACACCGCCCGGCCCAACCGGCCACCAGCAGCTCGGCACCCGGGCTTTCGCTCCTACTTCGGCCTAGCTACAGGAGGATCACGCGCAGCTTCGCCGCGCCCGCACGCACGACACGAACACGAAACCGAAACCGATTTCCCGGAGGGGGGTCTCCGTTTCGCATGCGATCTCACGAACCAACCTCCGACTACTGTGTGCTCGCATTGCGCTGCAGTCAATGTCCCTGCTGTGCATTGCATTGCGCTGCATTGCTTCTATATCGCACTTGCACCGGTGCAATTCAAACCGTCATTGATTCACAGCAGTTAACAACATTACCAGGCTTAGTCAGCCTGGTGCTGATTTACACGGAGTTTCAACTTGTATACAATCTCGTATAAGCTCCCTTCCGAACAGCATGGAACTCCGAGGTGCGATCGCGCCAACTGGATTATAGCTTTGCCCATGCGCAGCAAGCTGGGCCCTACATCGAGGCAACTACGCACAAAACACATGCAAGGTCAGTTTCAAGTCCGCAGGCGTGTGGCCTCAGGAAGAAACCTATGCAGATATAAGATTATTTCCTGTGTAGGGGGACACCTCTCTCCGCTCATACTGGTCCTGTTCCTCTTTGACGACCTACCAGACCACCCCAACCCAACCCGAAAACCCGAATTTCGGGTTGGGGGGGGTACGGGCTTCATATGTGTTTGTTCAGTGTTCCCCGACCCCCCCACACTGGAAATGGACGGCAAATCGGGGACTTCGGGTTGGGTTGGGGTGTTTTGGTGGGCGGTGACTCTTAACCCTCCTGCTTATCGCTCTCGCCCTCGCCCTCCTTGCACTCCTACCGTTACCCCCGCCCACCCACCCCCCAACATCCCCTGACGTCCTCGTCCCACTCCAGCCCCTCCTTCCCAAAGAAACCCCCCGCATCTGGAACCCTACGAGACGCCGAACCTCTGAAAACGCCCGAAAGCCTTCGTCTAGCCGGCCCCCCACCCCCCCCCCTCGCCCCCCCTTCCCGACCCGACTAGCGGCCCTTGGCATCCTGAGTCGTGCGCCGACCACGCCGAGGCCCCTGAAGGGCCCCGGGGGGCCCGAGACTGCGGGGAAGGCCATGGGCGGGACGAGGAAACGGAAGCCAGGTCAAACTCAGGGCCGCCCGGGGCGTGCGTGCACTCGAGGCACGTGGAAGCCGAGGCCCCCTTTTTGGAGGAGGGAGGGGCGAGATGGGGAGGGCGAGGGGACGGTGAGGAGGAGGGAAGAGGGAGGAGGGAGGAGGAGAAGGGAGGAGGAGAGGGGAGGAAAAGGAAGAGGAGGAGGAGGGGCACTGGAGGTCCTGGCTGGCCCCTCTCCTCGAGGGGGCGGGGGAGACGTGCGTCGTCGTCGTGCCTGCCCCCTCTCCCTCTCTCCTGATGTGCATTACCTCTTCCCTCGCCTGTTTCCCCTGTCCCTTCTCCACCCCTCCTCCTCTTTTCTTCGCTGTGCTGCTCAGCCTCGAAACCCCATGTATGTATGTATGTATGTAGGTAGGTAGGTAGGTAGGTAGGTAGGTAGGTAGGTAGGTATGTATGTATGTGTAGATGTATATATATATATATATATGTATCCCTTTCTCTCTCTCTCTATATATCTCTCCAACTCCCTCTCTCTCTGTCTCTCTCTCTCTCTCTCTCTCTCTCTATCTCCCTCCATATGTGTTTCTCTCTCTTTCCCTCTTTCTATCTATCTATACAAGCATATATACATATGAATATATATATATATATATATATATATAATGTAGATATGAATGACTATCCCCAGACCCCCGACTTCGTGATAGTTTCACAACGTCGATCCCAAAGGTCTGGACCCCGTCCCTGGTGGACCTCCTTTTCATCCTGAACTGTTGTTTGACGGCCCCGAAGCCTGCCCGGCAAGGGGGCCGGGAGCCGAAAACAACGAAAAACCTGCCGTCGTGACGGGAGTTTGGGTCACAACGCGAGGGGGTCTGGGTCACCCTCCTCCGAGCCCGAAACAAAGCCACGCTTACAGCGATGTTGCTTAGCGGTACTGTTGAGGCCTAACTTGTAGGAAATGACAATCCACTCTTGCCTACGTTCCTGATATGCACATGTACCGAACGAGAACGACACAGCGAATTGCAAAAAAAATAAAAAAAAACAAAAAAAAAAAAAAAAACACGAACCACGCGTCCCCACAATACCGAAACTTACATCGCCGTTATCTACATCGCCGTTTTCGTGTCTACGGCAGGGGGCGCACTAAACCGGGTCAATCCACACCCGGGCCGGTCAGGCCTCGCAAGATCCCGCAAAACTTTGCAGGATCCTGCACGCAGGCCCACCAGCGGCGACGATAGGGGCGAATAGCCCAAGGGCGGGCATTACACGTACTCGCCCGGGAACCTTTTCGAAGACATAGATCATCGGCGCACCTGAATACATGTATTGCTCTCCCCTGGGTCATTCGCCCCTGTCGTCGCCTCTGAGCCCAGAGCAGTGCATCCCTGGCTCGGCAAGATCCTGCAAAATCCGGCGCGCTGGCGGACACCCGTCTCTTGAGACCGGAGGAATGCCGCTGACGCCGCGACAATTTGTCCTAGGCAAGCCGCGGACGCAAAGCTCGTAGCGCCAGCGTTTGCGGGCTATCGCCCGCCTGCCTCGTCGCACGCGAAAACGCCGTAAGGTGATGGCGACGAGAGCGCGCCTCCACCACGGCCAGCATCACGTCATGGTGGGCATGCTTTCCACCGCCACCACCATAAGTAGGAGGGGACGGGGGTCCTCCTCTCCTCCTCCTCCTCCTCCTCCTCCTCCTCCTCCTCCTCCTCCTCCTCCTCCTCCTCCTCCTCCTCCTCCTCCTCGTCCTCGTCCTCGTCCTCGTCCTCGTCCTGTTTTTCCTCCTCCTCAGCCTCCTCCTCCTCCTCTTCCTCCTCCTTTTTTTCTTCCTCATCCTCCATTTCCTTTTCCCCCTCCAAGTCCAACTCATGGTGGTGGCGGTGAAAAACAAGCCTATCACGTCATACGCCATGACCGGCCGTCCCCCGAGCCCCTACCCTCCCCGCCGCCCCCGCCGCGCGCCAGCCTCGGCCAGGGGCGCCGCCCGGCAGGGGGGGCCGTCGGGCGTGGGAGGCGCGGCCGTCGCCAGCTCCACCGGAAAGTCGAGCGTCTCCTGTGGCCGGCCGTACATCTACAAACAAGGCCCGCGCCTTCTAAGAAACATCGGGGATGGACAGACCGTATTTACTAAAACGTGGCTTAGTGAAAACGACCTCGGGACCAAAGCTGGCGGACGCAAGCCTGGAAAATGACGGCAGCGACGCCTTGCCCTCTCGAGAACCGAAAACGGACAATTCACAAATCGACGTGTCAGGGTGGGAGTTCTGTCCAACCGCGAAAGCAAGCATGCTTCCAAGAAGCGCACCCCCCTACCCCTACCCCCTTCTGCGCGCGGCCGATCCTGGAGGGAGACAGGAAGGGGGGCGAAGGGAAGGACAATCGGAGGGGGGGGAGGCGGAGGAGGCTGCGCTTCTCGCGCTTTGGGAGGGCCGCCTTGGAGCCCGTGCCCTCGTCGCCACGGCATACGTTCGCTCCGAGGTCCGGGTCAAACAGCGCTCCGAAGGGGGTCGGCGGGGCGGCGCGGACATGGGGGAAGGGGGAGGAGGAAAAGGAGGAGGAGGAGGACGACGACAAAAGGAAGAGAAGGAGGAGGACGAGGAAGAGAGGAGGGGGGGAAGGGGAGGAGGGGGAGGAGGAGGAGGAGGAGGAGGAGGGGTGGAAGAGGATGAGGAGGAGGAGGAGGACAGGAAGAGGAGGAGAGGAGGAGGAGGAGGAGGAGGAGGAGGAGGAGGGGGAGGGGGAGGGAGGAAGGGAGGGAGGAGGAGGAGGAGGAGGAGCATGAAGCATGAAGCAAATAAGGCGGAACCCAAGCGCAAGCCTGGCCGCGCGCAGCACATCATCACTCTCGGGAAAATTCCAATCCTGACTTGGGGGGGGGGGGGCTCTCTCGCCGGGGGCCTCCCGGCGGCGGGGCCCTGGGGAGGACACAGGCTCCGCAAATTCCGAGCACTGGTGACTCCAAATGCACCGCACTCCTTATAGAACAAGGCACCACTCAAACCTCTGAGCTAATGGGAGGGGTGGCAAGTGGGGAAGAGGAAGTTGGAGGAGACATCAGCACCATCCCTCTTTCCCCCGCCGAGCCGAGCCCCGCCTTCGCCATCAGGCTCAGCAAGATGCCCGAACCTGAAGCCAGGACAGGGGCCTGGCCTGAAACAAGAAAGCGGGCCCAGAAACTACACTTGATCAGAGTCATGAGCACGGGGGGGCCGTGCAACTGCCCACGCACGCGCTCCAACCGCGCGCGCGCTGCAAGCAGGCCCCCGCCCACGCACATGCCCATGCCCAACGCGCGCACGCCCACGAGCACACGCCATGAAAACCTCGCGCTGGACAGAGAGCATCCCAACTGAAATATCACGATGGCGCGAATCATCGGAGTGGGTGCGATCCACGAGGTCAGGCAGAGAAGCGCCTCTCGAAGCACCCTCGGCTGCCAATGCATCTGGGACGACATTGAACGTCCTCTCGACGCGGGCCAACCCGACCTCCCATCACTCTCGGATGGGATCGGAAGTCTGGTTTGTCCCCCATTAAGGCCTCTTGCTATCCGCGCAATCCTGTGAAAAAAAAAAAAAAAAAAAAAAAACACAAAAAAAAAAAAAAAAAAAAAAAAAAAAAAAAAAAAAAAAAAAAAAAAAAAAAAAAAAAAAAAAAAACTCCCGCTGGGTGGCGCTGGTGTCCTTGTTTTTCTGGCCCCCCGAAGGGAACCCTGACACGTAGCCACATGCGCCACCAGCGGAGCGAATTAGTCCAACAGTGCACAACTGATCGCCAGGAAGCTTGGCTTCTGAGGAGGCGAGACAGCACCTGCCACTATAATGGGGCACTGAAACTGTGGCGCGCGCCCCCTCAGAGAAACATTGGGTCAGCTCCATCCGATAACGCCGCCGGGGGACATCGAGCGTCGGGACCAGGGCGAAGATCCGGACCGGTAATAATAGACACATCAGAAGGAGGAGGACAAGGAGGAGGAGGACGACGACGAGGAGGACGAGGAGGGGAAGGAAGAGGAGGAGGAGGAGGAGGAGGAGGAGGAGGAGGAGGAGGAGGAGGAGGAGGAGGAGGGGGAGGAGGGGGGAAGGAGGAGGAGGAGGAGCACGAGGAGGTGGAGGAAGAGGAGGAGGAGGTGAAGGTGGAGGGGGAGGACGAGGAGGAGGAGGAGGAGGAGGAGGACAAGCACATGGCGAATGAGGGAGGCTAAAGGTTGGTCGGCCCGACCCTAACCCAAAACCTCGTGGAAGAGATCGGGTCGATCGCATCGCCCGATCGCAGACGACAAGGATGCACCTTCGCCCCCGCCTCAACATTACCGCAACATTCGGGCACGCTGCAAAATCCGCTCCTTCCCAAGGAAGGTTTCATGAGACAGAGGCGAGAGACAACACAGAGACTGCATGCACCGTAAATCCGCACCTTCTCAGGGAAGGCTTCACACATCCCGACGAGAGACAACACAGAGACTGCATGCACCGTAGATCCGCTCCTTCGCAAAAACAAAACAAAACAAAAAACGCACAACGGCGAAAGACAGCACAGAGACTGCATGCACAGCGATAGTGGAATTTGCCTCACACGCCAGTACAAGATGATTACGCGGGTAGAGGCCCACTCTGGACTGCCTAATCATGAAGATGTCGCCGCCACCAGCCGTTGCCTCCAGGAAGGTCTGGGTGTCAGACTGGCGACGGTGCTACCAGCGGCCGTGGACTCGAGGGGGGCCATGGCGCCAGACACCTGGTGGATCTCCTCAACGGCCTTGTCCTCGATCTGATTCTGCAACGCGGCCTCGCAGATGAGCTTCTCAATGGACGTCGGTCTCGCCAGCGTCTTCAGCTCGTGCGGGCACTTGGTCACCGCCACGTCGCACACGCTCTCGATGACCGTCTTGCAGACGGGGTTGAACTTGAGGTTGGGGAAATTCTCCGCGATCTCCCGAACAGCCTTGTCTTCGATATGTTTCTGCGGCGCGAACTTGCAGAAGAGCTTCACGATGACCGACGGACTCGGCAGCGTCATTGGTTCCTGCGGGCGCTTGGCCGCCTCCGCGTCCCACGCGCACTCGACGTACTTCTCGCAGTCGGGCTTGTAATTGATGTCGGGAAACTTCTTCGTGATCACCCCGCGTATCTCCTCGACTGCCTTGTCCTCCTTGGGGTTGAACACCTGGATTTATTTCTCGGTCTTCGTGTCCAAGCAAAACGCGATCGCCGCCGTGGGCTCGCTGATGATCCGAAGGATGTTCGTCCCAGAGTTAGTGTTCGGGTCCTTCTTGGGCTGCCTCTGCGCCTCGTTGAAATACGCCGGCACAACGGCCACTACATGATCGACCTCCTTGCCCTGGTTCTTCTCGGCGGTCTCTTTCACCTCCGTCAGGGACATGGCAAAGACCTCATCGGCCTGCATGTCCTTGGGCTCCCCCTTCACCTCGACGTTGCTGAAAGGGTTTCTTGATTTGTTTGTGATCTTGAGCGGCAGCAGCTTCATGTCCTTCTGCACCGTGTCCAAGGCATCGGGCGCATTGTTGATGAGCTCGCACCGGATAATCTCCTCGTTGAACTAGGAGGTGTTATGGAACAAGCTCATGAGCTGCTGAGTGTTCATGGTATCGGAGGGCACCTGCTTGGCCATGGTGTACTTCGCGAAGTACTGCCTGTCCCGCCGTAGGTGCCGAAAAGGGTGCCAGCTGCTCCAGGCCACCATGAGGCGCCCAGGCGCGCGCACACGCGCACCGCTCGCGGGGTCCAGGGAGCGAGAGGCCAGCTTGGGCCTTGAGCCAGGAGGAGGAGGAGGAGGAGGAGGAGGAGGAGGAGGAGGAGGAGGAGGAGGAGGAGGGGGGAGGAGGGGGGAGGAGGGTGGGGGGGTGGAGGGAAGGAGGAGAGGAGGCGGAGGAGAGGAGGGAGGAGGGGAGGCAGGAGGAGGAGGGAGGTGGAGGGTGGGATGGAGAGGACGAGGAGGAGCAGAATGATCAGAGTCGGGAGGCGCAGCGAGGAGGGGAACCAGGAGGAAGGCGGTAAGGCTGCCTGGGCGACGGGCGGCCGGGCTCTCCTCGTACCGCTCCCGGCTCGTGGACCGCCGGGTGGACGGAGGCGACGACCCC